CTTGGCTTTCCATGCCTGAAATACTCTCATGGGCTTTTCAGCCAGATCCGAGTGCCTTTAGGGCTGATTCTGAGGCCAGAGTGCTATTTAGGACATCCGCCATTCTATGAGTCTGCTGAGTATCTCACTTCCCATGTTGGATCACTCTCCCCTTTATTTATTCCATTGGTTAGTGTTAGCAAGTACTAGACTTGTTTATGTGCTCCCTTTGACTCTTAGTCCTTTCATTATGATCAATTGTGAACTGAAATTGATCACTTGGACTAGTGAGATGGCATTGGTACATGCCACCTTGATGGGATTGAATTGGAATCCCCTGGTATGTTTTTAACTCTACCATTTGGGGCAAGTCAGCTTGAGCATGTCCCGAATTGCACATCTCTTCCCTCTCTTATTCCCACTCTTATGTTTAACAGGGATCACATTTCAGTTAAAGGCTGTGTGGGTTAAAGCCTAAGCCTGAAGGAGGGGAGGAGCGGAGAGGACACTCAAGTGCAGGAACTTTTAAGGGGTGGGGACTCAACTTTTAAGGGGTGGGGACTCAACTAGGTGAGCTCAGCAACCAGTTACTCTAGTGGCCACCATGGAGAAGCAGAAATGGGCGAGGTCAGAGCCTTGTGTGGAACTTAAACTCTTTCTCATGGGACTGAGCTGATATCAAAGGTTTGTGAACGGAAGAGTGGAACAATGAAAGTTCTGTTTAGAAAGATTGTTCTGACAGAGAGAAGGGTCAGAGGGTTTGCAGGTGGGAAGAAACGGGTGCCCAGGAGGTCAGGAGGCAGATACAGTAACATGCTCATGGCATAACACACTCATGGGATAATGAAAGCTCTGGCATGGTGGCACAGGGAATAGAGGAATTTTTTAAAAACTGATGCACTCAGAGTAGAAGTTTTATACTGCAATTTAAAAATGATATTTATGTTTCTAGTGTCATATCTTTCAAAAATGTATATACATTTTTGAAATACTGTAATACATTTTCAAAATAGTTCCCAAAATGCACTCATTGTAATGGCATAATGAAACTTAATTTGTACATTAGAATGATTAATTATTCCAATTAAGTTGCACAAAATTTGTCTTTGATCTATGTATTGTTACATTATGACAATTTTTATGATACTTTATTATACCAACTTGTGGAAAGACTTTACTGAAATTATAAATGACATTTTACTTCTAGTATAAATCCTACTTTCATTGCATTACAGTGCTACTTATGGATAATATCTGAAATATAATACTATATCCTTAATAGCCTACTTAATAGACATGGTATTTTTGGGTATCTATCTGAGAACAAAGTTTTTTCTGGAGGTGGAGAGGTAAGGAGTACTATTTGGCCGTTTGATGGATTCCATTTGGAACTTCTGGTGAAAAATCCTCATGTTCTGTTAGTTCCTCCAGTCTGAGGATTCACGTATGCACAAAAGCAGTATTTTCATTGCTCTGTGTTCAGAGCACTCAGTTTCAGTGATGTGAGTTCAAGACAGCCATGAAAGAATGACAGGAATGTTCCTGTGCACAGCAGGGAGAGAAAAGGGAGGCACGAAGGGAGAGAAAGAGAGAGTGAAAGGGAGGGAAGGGGGTGGGAGAGAAAAGAGGAGAGCGAGAGAAAAGGGGGGAGAAAAAGAGAAAGAGAGGGGGAGAGGGAAAAAGAGAAAGAGAGGGACTTTAATCAGTTTAAAGGTTATCTCTTTTATACATTAGGTTAAAGTTAAGATTTGATTCAATTTGGGACATGCTCAAGCTGACTTGCCCCAAATGGTAGAGTTAGAAACCTGCCAGGGGATTCCAATTCAATCCCATCAAGATGGCATGTACCAATGCCATCTCACTAGTCCAAGTGATCAGTTTCAGTTCACAATTGATCGTAATGATAGGATTAAAAGTCAAAGTCAAAGGGATCACATAAACAAGACTAGTGTCTGCTAATACTAACTGATAGAATTAAAAAGGAGAGAACCAGCCAACATGGGAAGCGGGATACACAGCAGACTCATAGAATGGCAGATGTCCTAAACAGCACTCTGGCCTCAGAATCAGCCCTAAAGGCATTTGGATCTGGCTGAAGAGCCCATGAGAGTATTTTAGGCATGGAAAGCCAAGACACTCTGGAAAAAAAAATGAGTACCTAAATGAAAGATCTCTGCAAGTGAGATCCCAGTGGAAAGAATGGGGCCATCAAAGAAGGAGGTACCTTTCTCTGAAGGGAGGAGAGAACTGTCAGGGAATTATTATGAAGATGAAGAAGCTGCACTCTAAGCAGCCCTGCAAGAGGACATCACCAAACCTAAAAACCGCATCACCATAGCTACGAGACCCTGGGAGGGTGGCAGTTGGGCAGGGCTGACCTTTAGCAACTGTATATAAGTGGACCCTCAGACTCTGTAAGCAGAGGTTGCTCAGCCTCTCTCCCCGGTCCATAGCACCTTGTGTCCACAGAAGTTTGGCTGAGTAGTCTCTCCCTCTAGATGTCATAATAAAGAGCTTTAAGGTGTGTACCTGAATCTTCTCGGTCTCCTTTGTTGAACCCATCATTGGCTTCCTTGCCAGTTGCTAACAATAGGGAAGCTGACAGTTGGCGCCCAAACAGGGTCATGATTGAGGCAGTGTAAGGAGAAGATGACAGAAGGGTGAGTAGCAGTGGTTGGAAAAGACCATGATGGGTGGGACGTCCCAGTCTAAAGAATATAAGAGGGCACTAGAGTGTATGGGAAAGGTAAAAGTCTTTCCAGGACAAACGCAGAAAGGAAAAAGGGTAAAATGCTACACACCAGGTAATGTAACATTGGCTTGTAAGCTGGAAGCAGCTTGTACAGAATGTGACCTCTCCAGTCTTAGGACAGTAGAAGACAGAGAAGATGTTAAAGGACTCCCTTCTAAAGGGAGAAAGTAATCTTGGAAAGGATTATAAGTGCGCAGCCGAGACCCTTAAGGTGCTTGTCTGCTGTGGCAAGGAGCTATGCCCTAGGAATACTGAGGAAGCCTGTAGTCTATATAACATGATTGCAGACTTTCGAGACAGACCTTCGTGGCATGAGCCTTTGCCCACTATGACTGAAGAAAGAATGAAAGAGCAAGCAGCCTACCCTGTAGTAGTGTGAG